ACCTGAGGTTATCCAAGGGGAAGAGGAATATGAAGTCAAGGCCATCCTTAATATGCGTAAGAGTAAATAACAAGGATGTGAAATGAGGGAGTTCCATGTGAAGTGGAAAAAATTTCCACACTACGAGGCAACATAGGAATTGGAGGAGAACCTAGTGGAGGAATTTTTGCAAGGTAAAACTCTATGTACTTATGCAAAGTTTAATTAAAGCATCAATTTGTGAAATTGAGCAATGGCATTTGTTGGGACCTAAAGGCGTGTAGAAAATAAGTTAATTAGCATGGGTTAGCTAGGTTGACCAAGCCTAGGGAATTACACCTAATTCCCCACAAGGATGTCAAATCCGTAGACATATTCTACAAAGGTTGGGTTCAAGTCCCAACCCCCTAGTAGAGCAAAGTTGAGTTCAAGTCCCCACCCCATACTAAAACGTGTTGAGGTGAGGGGTATAGAGACATCTATATTTCATTGTCATGGGCTCTTGGCCAAGAAGGCTAACTTAGGCAGATTGTTAAGTGGGGGATGGCCTCGGAGATATGGTCAACAAGTTGTAAGATTAAAAAGAGATGTTTAATGTGGGCATCAAACTTCTTCTATAGGTGGTGAAGTTTTCAGGAACCAACTCCCCAAGGTGTCGTAGGCTAAAGGATCCACAAAGACATGACCAAAATGATAAAGAATTCATTGGATGAGACTGCATCTGAGATCGAGTCCAAGACCATCTCTAAGACTGAGTTCGAGATAGAGTCCGGGATCGAGTCTGAGGCTGACTCCGAGACTAAGTTCAAGACCAAGTCTGAGATCAAATTCGAGAACGAGTCCGAGATCCGAGACCGGGTCCAAGACTGAGTCCGAGATTGAGTCCAAGACAAAGTCTAAAATTGGGTCCGAGATCGGGTTCGAGATCAAGTCCGAGATTGAGTCCGAAACTGAGTGCAAAGTCAGGTTCAAGATTGAGTTTGAGATATATAGAGAGTTATGAAATTATTAAGTTCATTATAACCTTAATATTTTAAAGTTTATAATGTAAAGCCAGGAGTTCTCAAAAACATATTTATTTGTTGACTTGGACAGGCCTTGCTTGGTCCCTAAAAGTTTCTTCCACATGACAAGCTGGAGTAAATGATGTAGCTCGCTCTAGACGACATTCACTTCCAATCGTTTGAATTTCTTCTGATCATTTCCAATCCCTTAAAGGTAGTATTTGTATTTGGTCATGGTGGAACTGTAAAATTACATCAAATTTAAATCTTTTGTGGCTATAATAATAATATGGTAGTCAAGTTGGATTGACAAGCTTGAATGTTTCTGCTGGGTATTAAAGCACAGATCATGCATTCCGGAAACTGCCATCGAATTTCTTATCCTAGAAATGTTCTTTTCATAGGGTGGATCACTCTTGCAATCAAGTTGCAACGAGGCAGTTGGAATGCTCCAATTCAAGCAACTGGCTTTTCAATTCGCTCAGTATGGAGTGGCAGCACTGCGAGTTTACAAGCGAGAAGAGCATTGATGATCCCGCCGCAGATGTGGGTCGGATCTAGTATGTTTGCATCGACTGAGAGGCGATGATCAGGTTGATCTTCTTTACGTGACGTTTGCTATGACGGTACAAGGAAACCCCACCGGCTTCACAGGTGCCTCAGCAGCGTTTGACAGATGGTCAGCCTAAAACTATTGTAGCAGGAATCGGGAAACGTCACTTAACGCACAAGGTTTGGGATCCAAAGATCTGGCAAACGCACTCATCCGGTAATTCCAGCTCTCAGGAAACAAGAGGCCGCGCTGCTGCCTTTGACTCCGTTAAATCTGTCCGCACGAAATGACACCATTTGAGGACAATGGCTTCTCCGCAGGCAGAGACATGGCTTACCAGGATCATGATCAAGTACGTGGAAGAACAAACTCCTGGGGATGGCATGACGAGGACGATGATAAACTCTCGTTTCCAAGACTTTGATTTCCTGTCTGTCAGGTGAATTGGAGGAAGCTTTATTTGAACTTCACAGAGTGGAAAGCTTTCTTCCCCTGAAGAAGATGTAAGCTTGCTTCTGGTGATTGCACGCGAGGAGCTCTAAGGGAATTCGGTCGGACGGATAAACCATCGTCGCTAGAGGACACGTGGCGTGAAGTTGTTTTGGTACGAGTCAGCAATATCCAACGTGGCTAATGATTTGGTTAATAAACAAACCATGTCGTTAATTCAAATCGTGCATTGCCGCCAAAAGCCTTTTTTTTTTTTTTGCCATGGCAAGCAATGGCGGCAGCAGCGGGGGCGACGGGAGCGACGGCAGCAGTGGCAGCGGCAGCTGGGGCGGCGGCGCCTGGAGCAGCTGGAGCAGCTGGAGCGGAGGGGAAGGGGACGACAGCAGCGGCCACAGTGGGGAAGGTGGCGGAGCGCGCTGGCAGGCATTCTTTGGCGATGCCCTGGAAAGCTTGCACGCCTTAGGAGCAAAGAGAATGGCTGCTAGGCTCGGGCTAGAACCCTGCTTCTGGAGTTATGGATCGATCCTTGGTGCTGGCTGTGGCCAAGAACCTAGGGCTTTTAATGTAGCTCCAGCCATGGCCAAATCGAGCTCGGCGAGGATGAACTCGATGAGCTTGACGAATTGGAAAGTAGAAGACGAGAGCGTCTCGTTAAAAGTCAACGTAAGGCCAAAAATTAACGGGTGATGTTATTATTTTTAATTAATCTGTAAGGCCTAGTAGCTCAGCTGGTCAGTAATAACGCCAAGGTCGCAGGTTCGAGACCTGCATGGGCCAAATATTTTGGACTCCTTCAATGTAGCTCCAGGCGGGCAGACATAGGTACATGGCTGCTATCACTGCCCCCCTCCATCCATCTTTATCTTCGCGTCCTCATCTCGTCTCATCTTATCTCCATCGCCCTTCTCGAGCAAGAACATTCCATTCTTCCACTGCAGTTCTTGTCGCCTCGGCAACACCATCGCCATCATCGCACGAAGAGTTTCCATCTCCCGACTCGAGCAAGCACAAGCTCAGGCCTCCAAATCGACTCTGGCGAATGGCCGGCGCGGACGAGTTCCCCGACCTCTTGCTCCAAGTAGAGAGCCTCCTCCACATCCTCCGCTCCACGGCTCCCAATCCCTCCAAGGCCGAAGCTCTAGACGCGTGGAGCGGGGATCTCACACCGGAGATGGTCGGAAAGTCATCCAGGCTCTCAAGTTCGTCGACGATGCCGTGTTCTTCTTCACGTACGCGCAGCATAGGCCCGGGTACGGCCACTCCATCTACACCTACAACTGCTTCCTGCGTGTTCTCCTCCGGGCTTGCCTCTACGATCGCGCCCGAGAGCTCCTGTCCGAGATGGTCGACTCCTGGCAGCTCCCAAACGCGTCAACTTTCGCGGTCATCTTGCACGGCTTTGGCAACGTCGTGATGGCCTGCGAGGTGCTCGTCGATCTCAAGAGCAAAGGTGTGGCTCCCAACACCGCGGAGTGCAATGCCAAGATCATCGCTCTCTGCAAGGAGGCCCGGTTCGACGATGCCAAGCTGCTGTTCCGGAAGATGGTAGAGATGGCTGCCGAGGACGTGACGAGCTACTATCTCCTCGTTCGTCCGCTTTGCAAGGCCAAGATGATCGAGGACGCCGAGGTGCTTGTCACCGAGTCGAGGAAGAAGTTCCGGGTCCCGCTCCACAATCTGGTGGTGTCCTCGTACTGCAAAGGGAAGAAGCTGGATGCTGCCGTGGCCGTGTACGAGAAGATGGTAGCAACGAACTCTTGCTCGGCGGATTTCGTCACCTACACCAGCCTGATCAGGGACTCTGCAAGGTGAAGCGGCTGGAGCAGGACTTGATCTTCCTGGGGAAAATGGTGTCCAAAGGCTTCGACCCGGACGTTTACACCTACACTGCCGTCATCCACGCCCTATGCGTCGAGAACCGGCTCCACGAAGCTCGAAAGTTTCTGGAAGAGATGGCCAACCGAAACGTTGTCACGTACACGGTTCTCATCGACGGGCTCTGCAAAGGTGGCCGGGTCGACGAGGCTGTGGCGCTGCTGTCCAAGATGCGGAAGAAGTCCCCACGGCTGTGACTTACAACAGCCTGATAAGCGGTCTCTGCAAGGCCGAGCGGGCGAGCGAGGCCTACGACCTCCTGGAGGAGATGGTGTACAGCGGCTGCATCCCGGATATCTTCACGTATACCACGCTCATCACCGGCTTCTGCAAGTCAAAGAAGTCGGATGATGCTCTCCGAGTCTTCGAGCAGCTGGTTGCCAGAGGCTTCCGCCCCGACGTTGTCACGTACTCGTGCTTGATCGATGGACTTTGTAAGGAAGGCCGGCTCAAGGAGGCGATCGATCTCTTCGGCCGGATGATCAAGAGCGGCAGCTGTATGCCGAACACGGTGACTTATAACTCCCTCATCAGCGGCTTCTGTCGGATGGGAAAGATGGACGAGGCGATGAACCTGCTGGAGAGGATGGCCGAGACTGGAAGCTCTCCGGACGTGGTGACTTACACCACTCTCATGAACGGCTTCTGCAAGCTGGCGAGGCTAGACGATGCGTACGATCTTCTCAACCAGATGACCCGCAAGGGGCTCACCCCGAACGTGGTGACTTTCACGAGCTTGATGGACGGGCTCTGTCGAGAGAACCGGCTGAGTGACGCTGTGCATATCCTCGGTGAAATGAGGAGGAAGAGCTGCTCACCCACAGTCTATACGTATAACACCATCCTCGATGGCTACTGCAGAGTAAACCAGTTGGAGGAGGCCCGAAAGTTCATGCTGGAGGAGATGGACTGTCCTCCCAACGTCGTCTCGTTCAATATCATGATCCGGGGACTGTGTAAAGTTAACCGGTCCAGCGAAGCCATGGAGCTCGTCGAAGAAGCCCGAAGAAGACGTTGTAACCCGGACGTGGTGATGTATACCACTGTTATCGATGTCCTTTGCAGAGAGAAGAAAGTCGACGAGGCCTGTCGAGTGTATAGAAAGATGCTGGAGGAGCCTGGGTGCTTGCCAAACTCTATAACGTATTCCACATTTGATTACTGGCCTTTGCAATGCTGGTATGCTTGATCGAGCTCGCGGGTATATAGAGAAGGGCTGTGTTCCAAACATCGGGACTTATAACCTTCTCATTGATGCGTTTCGTAAGGCCAATCGCGATGAGGACGCTTGCGAGCTGCTAGATGATATGGTCCAGAGAGGCTTCGGTGTTGTCCAAAGCCACCAACGCTGAAAGTTATGCTTCCGGTTTCATGTCTCGGAGCCTTGTCCATGCCTCCTCGAAGTCTTCTGGAGGAGGACATGTGAAGTGGACGTACTTTTCTGTGGCAGGGTGCTCGAACCTGACAACGTTTATTAGCTCACGCAAATTTCTTATACGAAACCTCACCCGAGGCTATAGGCATGCAGACAAGGGCGACGAATGTCCGATGTGAACTCGTGAATCTTCTTTCGGCTGTTCGTTTTAGTCGCGCTTAGAGCGGAAAATAGAGTCGAATTCGCTTTTCCCACTGTTCCTCCATACACATCATCCCCAAGCAGCGGGAAACCCATGTAACGTGCATGAACTCTTATCTGGAAGGTTCAGTTTAGTATCAGAGCTCCTGAAATTAAAGAATACGAACTTGATGAGTTCTCCCTGTCTCCAGCTTCCACTGAACAAGAGCCACACCACCATTTGCGAGAACGTCTAGAACCTTGTACCTGAAATGATAATGAAATGGTGATACAAAAGAAACTCGTTGCTCCATACCTGCTTGCAGCAAAACGCGCATTTCGGGCGGATGGAACAGTATCTGACGTCGTCATGCGTTTCCTATCTCGCGGATCACGAAGGATTTCAGCCTCAATGCGGCCGCTCGTCGTTGAAGGTGTACCACACGTAAGACTCAGATAGGTTCTTCGGACTTTCCGAGATTTAAATTGCTCGCTCAAACTCAGCTGGGACTGTTCATCCTGAAAACTTGTTTTTAGCCAGGTCCAAAGCGAAAGTCTCTCGACTACATACCATATCGGCAGCCTTGTTGACAACAATCACATGATCATCTTCATGAACAATGTCTAGCTGAATTCTCTCAGGGGTAGCTTCCAAAGGAGCAGCACCGCAGAGCGTACAGACAACTTCGTCACCACCAATGACAGGAAACGAAGGCTGCCAGAAATCCAAAGCTTAGCTCAAAGAAAAAAACATCTATGGAAGAAAAAGCATGAAAGTGAAGTGCAAATGAGCTAGAAGAAAGCCAAGCGCACCTTGGTGATGGTTTTCCCATTGACAAGAGCAAGCCCCTTACGAATGCTGTCTTGGACGCGAGCTCGACTGGTATGCGGGAGCTGACCCGAGAGCCACACGTCGATTCTAGTGCTCACGGTCTCCTCCGGGATAGTGCCATGGTACTCGCCCAATGCGTGAGTTCCCCTGGCCAGAATTCTCGCTGGAACCGACGAAGAATTCCAGCCTCTACCACTGCGCCAAAGCGCTAGCTGTGGACGCGCCACTAGCATTCTTTCTATCTATCCGGCCGCTAGAACCCTAAATCCCAGATCCCATGCCACACCTGCATTAGCTGCCTGTCCTCGAGATGGAGCAACATATTCGCTCGCGCTCTCGCGTCCGTCTTCTCAAACTCCAGGCGTTCTTCCTTCCTCGCGGATTCTCCCGGCCGGGCCTCCGATCCGCTCACCACGCCCCACGGATCGTGTAGCACCAGCAGCATTTGCATCCTCATCTTCCAGACGTGGAATCTGGCGCCCCCGAATCGCTCCACCAAGAACATCGACCCTTGCTCGTCCCTCATCGGGAGAAATTTTTCTTCCCTGTACGAGCTCTCATCTCTGTGCGGGATTTCTCGCGGAAATGCGGCCTCGGGAGCTTCGATCGGGGAGGATTTCGAGTTGTCAGCGACGGATTGGGGCGTGTCGAGGTTGGATCGCTCCGCCGGATCATCGCCACAAAATCTCCAGCGGTGCCTGGCACAAACACGAGAGATTTCGCAAGAAATACACGGCGTCGCGTGATTGCACCTCGGCGGCTCGGATTCCACATCGAATCGAAGAGACCCAAAGAACAAGAGCCCTAAAACCAGACTCCGGTGCGATGCTTGCCGGTAAAATTTGTCTAAGCTCATGTTTGTTCTTTAGGATGAGTTCTCCTCGCTTCCACCGGTCATTCCAGAAGACAATTATCGGATTGGTAAGAACTTTTCGTGTTCTTCTTAGAAAACCTTCTTTGTTTCAAGAGTGAGCTGCTCGATCACTGCTGCCGAGCGAGCATTGGAGATCGATGACATGAAATCGTGAGTCTCTTGCAATTCTCCATCGTGAATGCTCCACCCCGAGCTCAACGCTTTTTCGGATGCCATTAACGATCCGGAGGAAGGATTTGCAGGTGCCTTGAGATGCAAATTCTTTTATCATCTTTTCTCAGAAGCTACGATTCTTGTCCAGGTGTTGTCGTGGATTTGTTCTCGAAAGCGGAAGTTTTGCCAGAGCTCCACACATTCTTTGTGAAGGCTATCTACAATCTCGTATCATGATCAACTTCCTGGAGAAAATGACTTGCCTGTCTATACTTCCAGACAGACCGATCAATGCAGGCCATCTGGCAAGATTAAGATCCTGATCCTGAACAAGCTCATGAGCTCAATGCTTAGTTTGATCCACTGTATAGGTGGAAATCTCGGGGGTTCTTACAAACTTGGAGAACTCCAAAGCCGTCATTGACACGAACTACCTCTCAGTTCAAAAGTTAACAGAGTTTGCCATCTCACGGAGCTCGGATTGTCAACGTGAGCTCCGGAACAAGCAGAGGATGTAAGCCACCATAAGATCTTACAAGCTTTTGCTTTCCAGGCTGGTGGACTTTTATGGGAGATTGGCGGATTCGGTGCAAAGTCCTTGCACCATAGTAGGATGGCTATCATGCACAGAATGGAGACGAAGAATCGGCTCCATCAGTTCCGAGCGCAGCGACTTTGGTTGTTGTTATTGAGTCTCGGTAGCAAAGGAGATGGCAAAGGCAAGAAGCCGAGAAGGCACTCGAGCTTTATTCGCAAATGATCCAAGGCTGAGGCTCTTCGGCGGTCACGTCACTCTCCTCGCAGCAAAACCTTGCCGAGAAGGAACAACTGAAGTCGCTCGAGGATTCGCACAGCTTACACGACCAGTGGGGCTGTAAGTTCCGTGTTTTCGACACGGAACTCGACACCATGCTGGCAATTAAGCTGCTGGATTCTTACCCGAAGGTCGTTGATATCTCGTACATCTGTAAAGAAGATTGGAGACAAAGTGATTGTATCAGAGGCCCGATGAGACGGTGGATCCGCCTGCCATCGCATTTCTTTATTGACAGCAAGCTTGGATAACGTGTCCGAAACTCATGTTTCTATGGTTCTATGTTTCTACGACGCTGATAAAAAATTCTAGGCTTTGAAAATAAATCTGGTGTGAGCGTGAAGGCCGTCTTATAGTTATACTTGCTGCAGATACTCCATGAATTATTCTTGAAGAAGAAGGCCATCGGTGGAGAGACTGATAACATACTTGGTCGCACAACAACGGAATGCTTGACAAGAAAATACTCAAACTCAAGAGCGCCATTCCTCACCAAGTCACCCATGTAAACCTCACTCAAAAGTTTCCAATCTGTTGTCTCCCTGTCGAGTTCCCATGCAGCAGCAGACACCTTATGACCACCACTTATAGCTGACGAAACAAGAATCCACTTCCCATTGTAATCTACAATACAAGGCAGCCCACAACAGAAAAGATTGCTTGGAAACTTCACCTTGACCCTGTCATAGCAACCTGAAACCTGATCAAACACAGCCACGTAAAGAAGATCAACCCGACCATCAGTGACCTTTAGCGAGTGCCTGTTAGGTAATCCAAACATACTGGATCCGAGCCATGGTCCCTTGTCATCCGCAGCGAGATCATCAATGCTCTTCTTGCTTGTAAACTGGCAGTGCCGCCACTCCCTACTGAGCGAATTGAATAGCCAGTAGTGATCAAAATCTGCAAGGAGAAACACCAGGACCTTGAAGTACCCTGTGCATGGATCCACAAGCAGTTTCCCCTCTTTCCTCGAGACCTCGTTCACCGGGAGCTTGGGGAGGCAACACCACTTCCCGGTGATCGGATTCCCAACCATGTAATAGGGAAGGTGGTGTCTCTGGAGATTCACAAAATAGCCACACACCAGGCCGCAGGACGAGTCGGCAAATATCCTAAGCCTGCAGCGTCCTTCACCCCAAGGACCTCTATTCTTCAAGAGCAAGGGCAACTTAAGATGGCGAGCGCTGTGGGGAGAATTACTAGTTGCCAAGATACGACAGAGAACGGAACTATTGTCTACAAACCACGACTCATGCAACCGCGGCAAGCTTCTCCAGCGAGTGGCATCGTCAATGAGTGACTTCCAGCGCTTGCATACAAGCTTGCAGCGGACAAGGTCTGGAATGGGGAGCCATGCCAAGATCCGGCAGACGCACTCGTCAGGTAGCTCCTCACACTCGAAACTCTCAGGAAACAAAAAGGTGAGGCAAACGCGCAGCCCGGCCAACATCTCGAAGCAAAACAAGGCTTTTCCCTTTCCTCGTTAAATAGAGAGGACGATATGGCCTATGCAGGTTTCGAACCTGCGACCTTGGCGTTATTAGCACCACGCTCTGACCAACTGAGCTAATAGGCCTTAAACATTAAGCGATTCATGGAATGCTTATCTATTGGTTGGAATTATGTAATAGCATATGGCCGAGCTTCACTTGCCCGTGCTCGATCTTCTTCTCGTTAGGTCTAATCCACTTGTATTGCGATGCTTGCCGGCGATTCCAGTCGCAGCGCCCAGATGCCGCATTGACCGTCTTGCTGCCAATGCCGCGTCCTCGTCCAAGAGGAAGAGAGATTTCTCGGTGGAGCAATGGACGGAGGAGGATTTGGAGGCCACCGCGGCCGCTCCCACCGTCGTGACCTCGATGATGAGCTTCTACAACGCCATTGCGATTCTCGAGGTGCCCAGGGATTCGCCCAGTGAATTCGCGGGAGCTAGATTGCTGCTGCTGGATCAAACAGGTGAGCAATCTCTCTCATCTATAGATCATTTGGTTCTTTTTGTGGTGATTGAGAGAGCTTTACGTCCCAATGTAGGAAATGTTCATAGTATTTACAAGGAGGATTCTGTGTGGGTCGGTTCATACTGGGTAAATAGCTTCCTTTCTTGAGGAGTGAAAAGCAAGTTTATACTCTTTGTGTGGTTGAAGGACGAGTTCTCCTCGCTTCCACCGATCATTCCCAGAGGTCCCATTGCAATTCTAGGACTGGTAAGAGCTTTTCGATTTCTTCCTAGCTTTCCTGGTTTTTCTGTGTTGGATCATCAGGGCGGTGGTACTGCTGCACGATTGCTGCTCCACTTGTGGCCAGAGCGAGAATTGATAGGCTGGGAAATTGATGAGATCGTGAGTAACTACCGTCAATGCAAACTCTTACGTCGTTGAAGCTTGCAGCTAATTGACAAGGCAAGGGATTATCTCGGCTTGTCGGAGTTAGAAGGCAAAAACAAACACGGTGGAGGGCTTACAATTCACATCGACGATGCTCTCTCGGATGCAAATGATCCCGAGGGTGGATTCGCAGGTAGCTCGGTGCAACCTCTCTTTTTTTTTTTTAATCTTTCGACCTCACTTTTCTACAGGCATTGTCGTGGATTTGTTCTCAAATGGCGATGTTCTGCCAGTTCTCAAGGAGGTGAGAAACGAGTTTTAGTCTTTGCGGAGCATCAGATCACTGATATCTTTTCCTGATTCTTCCTTCCAGGCAGAGACATGGTTTAAGCTCAGGAAAAGACTGAGACCCGGGGGCCGGATCATGATCAACTGCGTGGAAGAGCAAAGACGTGGACATGACGATGATGAAACTCTACAGTCCACAATTACGGGCGAGAACCATGTTCTTTATGCGATGTCAAAGGCATTTCCAGGCGAGGTAAGACTTTTTCTTTCTCCATTTCCTAATACTTAAAGCGCTTACGAGTTGAAGGAACCGCAGGTGAACTGGCGGAAGCTTGATCAAGTGAATAACAAGATGGCTTTCACGGGTCCCCTCCCCAATCTCACACAGTGGTCTCAGGCTGTTCCCGAGAGGCTGCGAAAGGGGACACTACAGTGGAAGGCTTTCATCCAGTGAAGAAAATGCCTCTTTTCACTTTTTCATTGTTGTTGCTGTCATAGTTTGCTAATCGATCAATCCATCTTTGGCTGGACAAGTGCAAGGTTTTTTTGCTTTACTTCATCTGTTTCTCCAGGGTGGCGAGTTCGCATCTACCTAGTACGATACGTTTTTGTACGACCAAAGCCACCTATACATTTGGATATTGGGGCCCCAAAACTTAGGGTACACAAGATGATGTCTCTCAAGCGCAAAGCTGGCGAGGATGAAGCGTGCATCGCGAACAAGAAGGTGTGTGGTGGTGTAGGAGTCAGATTAGGAAAGCCATGGCAGAAATGGGCCATTACCATCTGTACTCGTGAGCGAGGACTTGATGAAATAAAAGCATCTTCTCCTTGGAATGTATTCACTGATGGATCCTTCGATAAAGAGTCGCTCTCGGCAGGGTACGGCGTCTACTTCCCGTCGGCAGAGGAGTCCCACAAAGGGACGGGCATGGCGGTGCAAGTCCCGCAGGAGAACGGCTGGTGCAAAAACGGGAACCCTATCGTCGACAGCCTCATCGTGTCTTCGCTCAACATGGAGCTTCTTGCGATACACGACTCCATTGCGGCAGTGCAGCTGTACAAGGCTCGAGGTTACTGGCAGTCCAACAAGCTGAATATCTACACGGACAGTTTGCAGTCGCTGAAGCTGTTGCAGTTTGCGCAGTGCCGGCCTGAGCACCCCGACTGTATCCAGCTCAAGCCGCTCCTGCAGTGCATCGTTGGTGCGGCATCAAAGAGCGGGATGGAGATCCGGCTGTGCAAAGTCAAGGCGCACGACAAGGTATATGAGAATAATGTAGCGGACGGGCTCGCCAGGAGAGGGCGCCAGCTCGAGGGGCGGAAGATCCAGTGGTTCCACGCAGAAAGGTCTGCTAAGTCGACTAGCGATTGTGAAATTGTGAAATATAGTGAGATTAAAGTGTGATACATTAATAGCTATTTCTCTCCCTTCTTCTTGAAAAGGCTTGTGAACTACCAATGTTTATAAAATAACAGTTAATTTTAAATTGCGAGAAAAATATTTGGCCCGCAGTGTTAGGAGGAGGTAAATGTTAATAAATAACAAAGTTTTTGTTTTATAAATTAATAACTATTTCTTTCCCTTTTTTTGTGAAAAGGTTACCAAACAATAGTTAACTTTAAATTGCAAGAAAAATAGTTGGCCCATGCAGGTTTCGAACCTGCGACCTTGGCGTTATTAGCACCACGCTCTGACCAGCTGAGCTAATAGGCCTTAAACAATCAATGATGATTGGAATGGAATCAGATTTAGAATTTAAGAGCACAAAGTATTGATGGACAGCGTGCTCCGGAAACAGACGCTCTATCCACTGAGCTACAATCGCTTTACACGTCATTTATTTGTTAGATTTTCATTTAGTTAACACGAAGAGCGAAAGATATCGTTACAAAAATACCCGGGCTCGGGATCCAGAAATTACAGTAGCTCTCAAAAATACCTATTGGAGGAAGCAAAGTCCATGGCTGCTGGGGCCTTGGCTCCGCTTAAGTCAATGCCCATTAAGCGACCTTTGTCCTCAGCTATAATCTCGATGTCTCTCCTTGAGCACACGAGCGAGACATGATATAGCTTCAGTTTGCTTGCATAGAATCTGGAATACAAACATGCCCCGATAAGAATGGAGAGCTAACAAAAGGCTGCACCTCTTAAATGTCAGTCAAGCTTAGAGCTTTTGTTGCTACCATACTAATCACAATGTGTATGTAAATGGTCATGTTAAGAGCATGCTTATTGTGGCCCTCTACATTGATGATTTGCTCATCATGGGTGATGACACCAATGCCATTGCTGCTCTAAAAGCTGCTCTTAGCTAGCAATTCCAAATGAAGGACCTTGGCCAAGACTCTTACTTTCTTGACTTTGAGATCACACACAATCCTAAGTCTAGTGGCTACATGCTTAGCTAATGATGTAAGGTCAAAGTTTTGTTAGATTGGTTTGGTATACGTGATTGCCACCCTATCAAGACCCCAATGATTGTTGGTGCTATCGACCTCACAATTGAGTAGTCCAGTGAGCCTCTACCCACTAGGACTCCCTATCGGCATCTCATTGGTTGCTTCACATATTTGGCCCTGATGACTTGCCCTGACATCACATATGTGACTATTGCCTCGAGTCAATATAACACATTGCCAACCACCATACATTGGCAAGCTGACCTCTAAGGCACTATAGACTGCAGCATTGTTTATTCTGGGGGTGATGCATTATTCACATGCTACATGGATGCTAGCTTTGCCATCAACAAAGGCCATCGCTTGATTTCTGGCATTTTTCTTTCTTTCTTAGGAGGTGCCATCGCATGGGCCTCCAGGCGACAATTTGTGGTGGCACTTTTTAGTGCAGACGTGGAGTACATCACACTCACTATTGGTAGTAGGGACATGGTCTGAGCCCAGGGGTTACTTGCTGAGTTGGGATGTGCACAAGCTGGCTCCACTACTTCTTGGTGTGACAACCAAAGCAGCATTGCCATGTCCAAGAACCCTGTCCACCATGCTCACTCAAAGCACATTAAGTCCATTTTCACTATGTGCATGAGTTGGTTGAAGGTGGCACCCTGGCAGTCCAACATCTTGGGACACAGGACATGCTAGCTGACCTTCTCACCAAGCCATTGGGGCCACACCAGTTTGAGCTCCTATGCAACAGATTTGGTTTGGTGAGTGGCTTCGGTTTGATAGACATTAGGACTTCCTGTTCTGTCTGCTATCACGGTGCACTTTGATCCTCACTATTGTCTACAGACCACGACTCATGCAACTGCAGCAAGCTTCTCCAGTGAGTGGCATCCTACTTCCAGTGCTTGCATACAACCTTGCAGTAGACAAGGTCTGGAATGGGGATCCATGCCAAGCAGACGCACTCGTCAGGTAGCTCCTCACACTCGAAACTCTCAGTAAACAAAAAGGCGAGGCAAACGCGCAGCCCGGCCAACATCTTGAAGCAAAACAAGACGAGGCCTTAAACTTTAAGTGACTATCCATTGGTTGGAATTGGTCGAGACATGTTCCTGGATGCCCCAGTGTGATGTGTCACGGTTTTGCACGAATCAGTGATTAAACAAGACAAGCAACTTGGCGTAATAACACGTGATGGTGATGAAAACTCTCCACTCTAGCTTAAATACCATTGGCTTAACACAATCTTCAAGCTTGGGTAGTCATCAAACTTGAGTCGAGGCATATTTTTTTGGATGCCGAGTTATATCTTCTCGTTAGGTCTAATCCACTTGTATTGCGATAGTAGCGCCCAGATGCCGCGTCCTCGTCCAAGAGGGAGAGAGATTTCTCGGTGGAGCAATGGGATTTGGAGGCCACTGCGGCTGCTCCCACGGTTGTGACCCCGATGATGAGCGTCTACAATGCCATTGCGATTCTCGAGGTGCCCAGGGATTCGCCCAGTGAATTAGCGGGAGCTAGATTGCTGCTGCTAGATCAAACAGGTGAGCAATCTCTCTCATCTATAGATCATTTTTTAACAAGATGGCTTTCACGGGTCCGCTCCTCAATCTCACACAGTGGTCTCAGGCTGTTCCCGAGAGGCTGCGAAAGGGGACATTACAGTGGAAGGCTTTCATCTAGTGAAGAAAATGCCATTTTCACTTTTTCATTGTTGTTGCTGTCATAGTTTGCTAATCGATCAATCCATCTTTGGCTGGACAAGTGCAAGGAATCGGACGGCTGCCATCCGGCCACTTCCTCTTGATTTTTTTGCTTTATTTCATCTGTCTCCAGGGTGGCGAGTTCGCATCTACCTAGTACGAAACGTTTTTGTACGACCAAAGCCACCTATACATTTGGAAATTGGGGCCCCAAAACTTAGGGTACACAAGATGATGTCTCTCAAGCGCAAAGCTGGCGAGGATGAAGCGTGCATCGCAAACAAGAAGGTGTGTGGTGGTGTAGGAGTCAGATTAGGAAAGCCATGGCAGAAATGGGCCATTACCATTTGTACTCGTGAGCGAGGACTTGATGAAATAAAAGCATCTTCTCCTTGGAATGTATTCACTGATGGATCCTTCGATAAAGAGCCGCTCTCGGCAGGGTACGGCGTCTACTTCCCGTCGGCAGAGGAGTCCCACAAAGGGACGGGCATGGCAGTGCAAGTCCCGCAGGAGAACGGCTGGTGCAAAAACGGGAACCCTATCGTCGACAGCCTCATCGTGTCTTCGCTCAACATGGAGCTTCTTGCGATACACGACTCCATTGCGGCGGTGCAGCTGTACAAGGCTCGAGGTTACTGGCAGTCCAACAAGCTGAATATCTACACGGACAGTTTGCAGTCGCTGAAGCTGTTGCAGTTTGCGCAGTGCCGGCCTGAGCACCCCGACTGTATCCAGCTCAAGCCGCTCCTGCAGTGCATCGTTGGTGCGGCTGCAAAGAGCGGGATGGAGATCCGGCTGTGCAAAGTCAAGGCTCACGACAAGGTATATGAGAATAATGTAGCGGACGGGCTCGCCAGGAGAGGGCGCCAACTCGAGGGGCGGAAGATCCAGTGGTTCCACGCAGAAAGGTCTGCTAAGTCGACCAGCGATTGTGAAATTGTGAAATATAGTGAGATTAAAGTGTGATACATTAATAGCTATTTCTCTCCCTTTTTCTTGAAAGGCTTGTTAACTACCTTAATATAGTGATACATTAATAAGTATTACCTGATCAATTTTATTTTATTTTTCTTGTAACTAATAAATAAAAAACGTTTGGTGCTAATGTTTACCATACAACAGTTAACTTTAGGGTTGAATTGCGAGAAAAATATTTGGGCCCATTTGGCGTTATTAGCACCACGCTCTGACCAAGCTGAGTTAATATGAGCGAGCGCGCTGGACAGGGTTCGAACCTGTGACTTTCTGCTCCGGAAACAGACGCTCTATCCACTGAGCTACAAGCGCTTATACGTCATCCATTTGTTAGATTTTCATTTAGTTAACACAAAGAGCAAAAGATAAGATTGATCTACAAAAAACCCGGGCTCGGGATTCTGGAATTACGGTACAAGCTCTCAAAAATACCTATTGGAGGAAGCAAAGTCCATGGCCGCTCGGGCCTTGGCTCTGCTTAAGTCGATGCCCATTAACCGACCTTCGTCCTCGGTTATAATCTCGATGTCTCTCATGTCTCTCTTGAGCACACCAGCGAGACGTGATATAGCTTCAGTTTGCTTGCGTAGAACCTGGAATACAAACACGCCCCGATAAGAATGGAGAGCTACCATTGGAAACAAAAGACTGCACCTCTTGAATGTCAGTCAAGCTTTGCTCGTCGAGTTGGCCTGGTAGAAACGATGCATTTCCTACGCCTGCGCGCAGGCGTGAAATCGACAAGACCGAGTCAACTTTCCTTGGAAGCTCTGTCGTTGGCTGGAGCTGAGAAGGTAAAAGGCACTCTTAAGTTCCTATGTCGTATCAAAGAAAGACTTACTTGTCGTGCCAGAGTTCGTAACTTTTCTCCCAGAAGTGTTTCGGACCTTGTCAAAGGCATCCGTAAGCCCTTCGCTTCAAGCATTTCGATTATCCTCGTAAGCTGGAAAAAGAAAACAAGCTAGAAAACCACCACGCTCCTTGAAAAAATAAACAGACCTTTAACAGCTTCCGTTGCAGCTGCTGCTCCTTGAGTCTTAACCGTTGGAGCCAAGGTAATGTGACGACCTGGAAGTGTCTTTGCAGCTGCGAAAAAACGGGAGAGCTAAGATACAAGGCACAGTGGCATCCAAAGCTCACCAGCTTCACGTTGCTTTCAGTAGCCTGCAGCCTGTTCGTATCTGAAGAGATTGCCTCGTCTTGCAGCTGCCTCCCGACACATGTCAGCCTAAAAACGATTGTAACAGAAATTTCAACTCAAGGGAAACGTCACCTGAAGTCGCTTCGAAAGGTCTTTGAATCCCAACAGCAGCTCTGGGTATAGCCGCTCCCTATCTTCGGTTCCCATCGTCTCAAGCTTGCTCATCACTTCGGCCCACATGATCTAGGAAAAAAGAGAAGCAAAAAGTTACACATATACTCTAAATCATGATTCATCTTTACATCAGAAACGCCTGGAGGTTTGAATCGCTGAGAAGGCTCCGTGACACTAAGCAAAAGATGCTGCATACAAAATGGTGGTGAGTCTCACAGCATAATACACTTCTCTTACCTTGAATGCGTAACAAGAATTAGCAGGGTCCTCCCTATAGGCGTCACAAATCGCCTGTATAGAACCAGCAAACACTAGACAGAGTAAGAAGGTAGCCAAACCGAGTTTAATCCTTGCCTGGATTTCCCTCTCCGGAAGCGGTACTGCCAAAGGTGCAACAGGAGCCATCTGTGTCGTCAATTGGCCTGGGAACATCGGCTGCTGTGGAGGCTGGCCAAAGCCAGGAGTTTGGCCAAACTGCGGAGCTGGAGTTCCAAACATGGACGAAGAAGGCTGTGCTTGGCCGAACAGGGAACTGCTTTGAGTTTGTCCAAATAGTGACGAAGAGCCTGGAGAGTCCAAACTGTGAACAAACAGAAGAAGGAAAAATACATACTTGGCATGCCGAACAAGGACGTGCTTCCAAATGCTGGTGTGCTGCTCAAACCAAACGCTGGAGTGGATGGAGTCGTGCTACCAAAAACTGGAGTCGAGCCTCCAAATGCCGGGCTTCCAAAAACTGGAGTGCTGCTACCAAACGCCGGCGTCGAAGCTCCAAAGGCTGGAGCCGTCGGCGTCTGGGTCGGGGTTGAGCCAAACACCGGGGTTGAGGATCCAAAAGCCGGTGTGGAGCTTCCAAACAGTCCACCACTCGACGCGCCGCCGAATGCCGGGCTCGATCCGAAAAGACTACCCCCTCCAAACATCGAGCTGCAAGAAATGCCGGAAATCCTAGGAAATCCTTCCCCGAAAAGAGAGAAAGATCGAGCGATCTTACCCGGTGGAAGCTGGAGTCTGCGGCGTGAACAATCCAGCGCCAGATCCGAGGGCCGTGGAGGGAGCCGCGGGCGTCGACGGCGTCCCAAAGAACGACATGCCTATAAACCCTAGCGTGAACCCTCGCCTTGGAGAATATTTCACAGAATATGCCTTGTGAATGGCGGGAAGAATATTCACCAGCATCTCTTGGAACTAGCCCTAGTTTCCGTGAGAGAGGCAATGTGGAACAGCGTGATCTCGTCGCCGCGGCCAATCCTCCACACGGATGGAGCGCGGGAGCTGCGCAAGGTGCTAATCTCCAGGAGAAATTCCAGGTCTCGATGCTGCTGCCGGGCGGGATTGGGAGATTTTCCTTCCGATGGGAATGCCTTCCAGGATTTTAGGTTATGGGCTGGGAAGAGCGGGCTTCCGGCCGCCGTGGAGGCGATCTTGATCGAAGAAGCGTTGGCTCCTGGCGAGGCATTCGCGGCAGAGGAGGATAAGCTCGGTGGGGCTGTTCTTCCTCCTCCTCCCCCTCCAGAGGCGACGCTCTCGGATAACATTTTGACCGTTTTGTTTGGAGCTGCCGCGCTGGGTCTTGTTGTTCTCACGGTCGGGGTAAGCCACACTCTCCCTCTCTTGCATCGCTCTCATATAAGTGTAAGTTCTTTCTATCATTTCTGGTGGATTCTACGGTCATCGATTTTAATTTTCGTGTTGGAGGACGAATGGATTTGAGTGTTTTTCGTTGGAGCTCATTAGCTTGCGTGCTCTTGGCATAGTTCCCATTGTTCCGCATAGAAATGCAAGTCTTTTTTCGTTCTTGCTATCATTTTTGTTTTGCTTTTCGGTGACCATAAGTTTTGATCTTTGAGTTGGAGGATAGAGTGGATTAAACGTTTGCTATGCTTGCGTGCTCTTAGCTTCGTTACCAATCTTCCGCAGTTTTTCTTTTCATTGCCTTTCGGCAGTACTTTTTGATTATCTCTTCGTTCTCTTTTGACAGCTGTGATCGATCTTCTAACTCTTTTTCTTGCAGGTTCTCTACTTGGCTGTGACGGATTTTCTAGAGAACAGGAAGAACGAAGATTTGAGAAAACAAGCCGAGGCACGGGAGAAGAGAGAATCAAAGTCGAGCAAGAAGAAATCTGCCGAGCAGATAAATACTCGGGCTGGGTCCAAGGGATTCGGTCAGTACGTACGTAAAGAAAGCGATTAAAGCTCTCTTCTTTTATTTCCCTCTCCTGTTACTCTGCTCGTGCTCTTGAGCTCGATGATCTTTCCTCTTTATTTACAGGAACACTTCTTACACGATACTGAAGAAACCACGGTCGAGCGTGAAAAACATCTTCTCGCTTGCGTGAGCGCTGCGAACCATGTCAGCGACATCGTCGGAGGTGTTGAGAGACGCACTGAGAACTTCCAGAGGGATGGACGCGTAGACAGACCTCGATCCGGACAGAAAACTCGGGTAGAAGCTCGACGTGAAGTGGATGCAAATCCATTCCATTGGGGAGCTCCCAGTATTCACCTGAGACAAACAGCCAGAGCTCAAACAATCGAAGATCGTCTAGAAAGACTTACAACAGCGTGAGGATGATATGGTGGAACAACGAAAACGTCGCCAGCATCAACCGTCTGCTCGATAGCTGCTTGGCCTTCTTGCGTTGCAACCTCGACTCGGCCTTTTCCTTTGGTCACGTAGACGATTTGTCCAGAGCCGAGAAGCCACTGTGGAGCAAACATGCTGGAGGGATTGAGCTTGACGCGAACCGCTCCAAAGCTCAAGTGTTCCAGGATCCTCATCTTGGTATCGTCCAGGAGCGTCATACGGCCACCGGACTCGATCACATCCGGGTGAGCAATCTCCATGTTGAAAGAAAGATCACCTCGCATCTCTCCATTGTCAGATTGATCACTGCTAACTTCGTTGTCGAATTCCTACGCGGGGAAACAAAATCCAGTGACCATCTTTCGAAAGAGGAAGAAGAAAAAGCTTGCCTTTGCGTCCGCAAACACGGAGCTCTTCTGCGCTTCAACGATGCTGCGAGCTTCTTTCATATCAACTTGGAACGTCCTCTTGAGAACCTCGTCGCTGAATCCGTGGAGGAAAGAGCCCTTCTTGCTTTCCTCGGATCCGGCAAGAAAGTAAGTCTTGCACGACTTACAATCTTCCTGGAGGACTGGCTTGTTCACGCAAAACATCTTCATGCCCAATCCACCAGTGTTCCATAGCCAAACCATCCATCCAGCGGGAAGAGCTACAACATCTCCAACTCTCACATATCTGGAAAAGATTTCAAGGCTTTGAGAAAACAATCTAAAAACAAGAACTTAATAGAGAAAATCTAAAGAGCATGAGAAGAATTCGAATCTAAAGAAGAACACGAATCTGAAGAAGAACTTGATAGAGAACATGAATCTAAAGAGCATGAGAAGATCATTCGATCAAAGTACCTCGTGTTTGTGGCTTCTCCAGAAGGGCGAACGATTCCAGCAGTAGCCCTCCCTTCCAAGACGTAGCACAAGCTATCGGCATCCACATACATTGGCAGCACCAAACCATTTGGCTTCAAATGGATGATCTCGCTCTTGACGCCGATCTCTTCGAACGCTGTGGCGTCGCGATCCCAGCCCAAAATCCTCCCGCCCTTCTCTTTCACGACCTTCCTGGGGTGGGGAAGCACGAGATCCGACGAGTCCTTGGCGCTGGCGAATCCCAGTGCCAGGAGCAGCAAGAACACGAATCTCATCACCATTGCCGCCGATTCTTGCAGGAAAAACCAGGAGATTATCGAAGAGGATGGATTCAAGGCGCTACTCTTGACAAGGAAGCCCTAGCTAAAAAGAGGTCCATGCAAGACTAGCGCTCTCCACGCGGCAATAGCCATGCAGCAAACAAGCCAAGCATTGATTTGCCAAAAAATGCAAGAAGGTTCAGTAGTAGAGCATAGACAAACGAGGGAGTTTTTCTTTATCACCAAGTTTCTTTGACGGATCAAGAGGGTGGCAGAATTTTAGTGTTTCAAGTGTGTAAGCTTAAGTGGCAAAACAGAGGCCAAACCAAATTATTTTATGGAGAATTTTAGTCTATGAATAATCAATTATTACTTAAAATATTCTGTTGACACCTTTACTCTAAAAATCCTTTTTTTCAAAGTTACATGATCAAATATTAGTGATTAATAAGAAAAGGAAAAACTACTGTGGAAAGTTTCAAAGATTGTTAGTGATTAGCTTCTAGATTTTAAATTATTTTTCTTTATTTTTTATTTTTATTTTTTAATGATCAATAGAAACTTTGAAAAGATTATAATGAGTGTTTATTCACACCCACTGTTTAATATGAATTTTATGTAAAGTATTTTATGTAATTTGGACTAGTGGCTTAAGAAATGTTATGTAATGCATATGAACATATATTAACATAAAATTTATCATTTACGTGTTAAAATTAAAATTATGGGAAGTGCGTGCTGTGAAACTGGGCTATCAAGGATCGAGCCACAAAACTCACTTGCCTCTAATGATCTGGTTCCTGCTTGAGTCTATGAAAACAAGATGGCTACTGCTGTTCTTGATGCCAAGGTTTCCACTTAAGCTGTTCCTGACTAGTGGTGAGAAAGAACAAAGTTTGAGAACATCACTTCAACAAAGATTTGCTGGTCAGTGAAAGTGTTATGTGCTATTTGAAGTTCCTCCAGTGCAGAGTGAAGCCCAAACTTGAGGAATATTGCCACCAATACCATTCTTAAAAGAGCAAAAGTTGTGTTCAAATGAGCCCCCATGGAACAGAGCAGAATTGATGTAAGTATTATTATCTAGATCAAAGATCTCTTTCAAATACTACAAATGTATTCTAGTTGATGATTGATACTTGTTTATGTAAATAGAATTTAATATCTTTTTATAAACCCCCAAGTTCAGATTTGTATGTCGGTTTAATTAGGCAGCTTCTCCCCGGTCTTTCAGGCAAAATCAGAGATGAGCACGAAGAAGCTTATCTGAAACGCCATGGCACGGTGATGCAAGAGTTGCATACCCTTAATTCCACCACCATAGTCTTTTTGAGCCTGCGAGAGTTTATCTTTATCGAGAAGCTGCTCAAGTCAAGTAGCAGACAAGGTTTAAGTTACATAAAAGAGAGAAACCTCACCAGTCGCGATATGCATGCTTTCCTCCTGAAAACACTCTTGTCCCTTGAAGTAGTCGTGCTCCAAGCTTTGGTTCTACAGAAAATATCACAAGAAAGAAAGTCGACTCCTGTAGCTCCAGGCCAGATCCCTGAGCAGGCCGGCTTAAGATTCGCACAGGGAGACATACTTTCACCTTTTGAGCCACTTTGAAAACTCCTTTCCAATCTCCTCGACAGGAAGCACAGGAAGCATATGTTTGTCTCCCGCCCCGTGCCAACTAGAGAAAAAACTAGTCGAAATGTCAAAGTGAAGAGAACACGCACTCGACGCCAAGCCCTTAGAAATCCAGTCTTAAACTCAAAGATCTGAGGCCAGGAAGCATCATCCTTGATTGAGGCTGCTCCTTAATCTGAATTCAAGTTTATCGAAATTCAGACTAAACGATCTGTGGAGCTAGTGTTGCTCCAGAATGCATGGACTGGATGGAACCCAAGAGTTCTCAAAGCTACGGTACATGCACAGTCGTGTCGGGCTCTTCTTTCTCCAGGAAGGTTCTCGATTCCGACTCGTCAAAGAATTTCAAACGTCTTTCCTTTGATTTACCCAGACGCTACATACGGTCTGGTGGGGGACTTGCAACCACAGTATATACTAGTGAACTCTTTCATGTCCATATCTGAGAACTTGTTGAGCCCAGCTGCGTGTGGGTTGCTGTTGTGATCCTGCACCACAAGTAGTTTTGCTTGAACACGCCGAAGCGGTACATCTCCTCCTCTTTGCTTGCATACGTCTTGCCAGACTCACAGTATTCGTCCAGACGCTCAGAATTTTTTTAGCATATCCTCCAACTTTTTGAGTAAGAGAGTCAAAGTTTCTAATGCCTCAGTGTTGTTTGAAATTGGACTGGATGGACCAGATGTTCAGAAAGTCCATGTGCCCCAGAGTTCTTGAAGCTTGGAAGAGACAAAAGAGCACGTCTAGCCCGTGGCCCAAGAGAAGGGTGAGAACAGTTTACTAAAGAAATGGAACGGGAGAACCAACCATGACATCCTCATCCATTTTTTCAATATATTTTATCCAATGGGAGCACGGCATCAAGATGACGCCCTTACTTACTATACCAGTTAGATGAGAAGGAGGAAAGGAAGTTGTAGGAAGCTGCAACTCAAGAGTGATGGCTGAGATAGACAGAATAGCTCGGCGGGTGAGCGAGGTTAGTTTACATCTCATTGTGGGTCTTCACAGAAAAAAAGGCAATAATCTAGATGGTTCTCTAGAGTAGTATTTCAAGCACAGTTTTGGGCATGGTGATTGCTATTTGAAGCTCCCCAGTATAAAGAGGTAGGATATCTGATCACAATCGTTAGCAGTGGTGGAGTTACAAGAGTCTAATCAGGCTATAGTGGGGCATTCTGGAATTCCAAAATGTTCAATGTTCTCCAACTGTCTAACCATCCAATAGTTATATCTATCTGTTCTAGATCCCCTGTTGAATGTTTTTTGCTTGCTTTCTTTGCATCTTATATTAGCGAAGGTTTATAATATATTGTGGTGCCCTGAAAAATTATTCTTCACGTGCGAAGGTTTATAATATATTTCGAAGGTTTACAATATATTGTGGTGCCCTGAGAAAGGAGTTTTCAAATGTTTGGTATAAGCTTGGAAACTTTCACTCTAACAAAGAACTTCCTCTTCCTTTTCAAGGCCTCCTTTAGCAGCAATTCACTCTTCTTCCCCCTGTTCATCAACATCAATCATTCCCGGAAGATACTGCTCAAATAATCCACTTGCAGATCGTCAGACCTGGGCTAGATCGAGACCACCACCTTGGAAACCAGTGTATATCAAATGTGGCAGCCTCGCTGAAGCTAGAGTCTTTAATATAATATTGGCTCTAGGCAAGCTTGTTTGGACCGCAATCACCAATGCTAACGTCCAGTCAGGAGATTTCCACAAGGCCATCTATCTCTTCCATTGCCTATTGCTCGAGGGAATGATATTGGTTGCTGCTAGCCTACTGGATTACAAATGCCTTATAATGATATATTATTTTAATGATTTTTTAAAGTTATTGTTAATTTAAGTTAGCATTAGTAGCAAATTGGCTTTAGTTACAAAATTATATTGTAATTTGTGATAAATTTTATATTCACAAAACATTTAGTTGGAAATTAAATTTATACTTTACAACTGAAATATATATCATAATTTTTATCACTACTTAAAACTTATTCTTTAAACTAGACCATTTTATATATGTTTCTAGTAACTAAACTGTAAGTTTAATTGCAAAAGTTTTAGTCATAAATTTCAGTAATAGTTATATCAACTCATAATTCTTTAACACAAAACTTTGTAATATTTTTCCTTCTCAAATCCATATTATATGTTTTGTTTAGGATTTATAAATGTTGTTATTTGATGTGTGGAGGTAATTATATTCACCTCATAAATTATCACAAATTGTATTTGTCTTTATGGTAGACATACTTTAGCACTACATGATGCATGGTTTCCAATGAAAGATATTCAGGGCATTTTATTACATAAATTTATTATTCTATAAAAGTAGCATTTTGAAATTTGTGGAAGTTTTATAGCTCTAGATGATGGTGGTATTAATTTAAGTAGTGGTATTAATTTGGTAGCAATGATAACATTGGTAATTTATTTGATTATTTTTCAGAATGGTTACATAGGAATAAAGAAAATTTATTATCTATTTTATCAGGAGAATAAGGACCTTCTATTTTATTGAATTGATAATATTAACAAATATAAAGTTTTTATAATAATATATATGAGAAAATTACTATGTGCTATTTTCCTATTATTCCTTGACTACAATAACAATTTCAATAAAGAAATAACACCATTTTAATCATTAATACACTAATGGAATAATGAGATGCTTATAGATAGTTCAATCTGAAAAAAGTTTAAATATGATTATCCAAATTTTGCAAAGATTCAAGAAATATACAATTTCATATGGTTCTAACTATATTTCTCTAATAAAATTAATGAAAAAACCAAATAATATGTTGCCCATTATTTTGGAGTCATTTGTATTATTTAGTTTTAATATATCAGGTAAGTAATACAAAATATAAATAAAGGCTTAATTTCTAAAGTTGGTGGCACATTGATTGAGTAATAGTTTTCTATATAATGATAATAAATCATAGTAATAAGACCTTTATACTATCAATAATCAATATATTCTAATGATTTATTAAAGTATTATTATCAAAGTTTTCATTATGGCATAACCATATATTTTGCTTCATTTTACATGCAGCTAAGTTTTTTATATTACTTACAGAATCATCATGTTGCCCATGAAAATTGTTAATATTCATCTGTATGAATCATAAAACTCAAATTAGATATTGCTACCTAATAGTATTAAATGATTATTCATCTTTTATGAGCTTTCATATTTTAAAAATTTTCTAGTAACATTCTTATATATTTAATTGTTTATTATCTATTTCATTTAAGTGGTATGTAAGACAATCAAACAAAAAGAATAAAAAAGCATGCACTATCTAATGCTATTTAAAGTTTTTTTATCATTATAAAAACTATATTATTTAGAAACCTGTACTATTAAAAATATAAATGATCCATTTTAGAAATCATTATTTGTATTGAAAAAAATTTTATTGT